TGTCAGTCATGTCAAGTTGTAAATAGCAAAGTCAGTGATATTAAACAAAAACAATATTAACACTTTCCTTGTTGTCTTCTAAATAATAACTTCAAATTTTCTTTAGACTCGCCAGTGTAGGTGGATTGTTATTGATTCCCTTCATGGTCTGCTTCTATAGGAGATGGTAGGTTTATGGATTTTACTTGTGAATGATGTATTCAAGAATCTATTCCCATATCTTTAACAGCTGTAGAATAAGACAAAATGGCAGAAAAGGGACTCTTCAAGCTTGGGGTCAAGGAAGGTGCATTGGAAGGAAGAGTTTTGATCATAACTAGATCTCCAGAAGAAAAAAGTTCTTTTAGTGTTGAATGTGAAAATGTAGTTGGGAAGTTTTTAAGAGTTTGTTGAAATTTAGCTAAATAAGTAATATATTTTACAAAATCTGTACTTTCTTGATCACATAGTAAATCATTAGTTTAAAGGGGTCTTCCATATAATAATTCAAATGGGCTACAACAGAGTTTCTGAGGTGAATTTCTTATTCTAAGGAAAACAATGGAAAGTAATTTAGTCCAAGGGAAGTAAGTCTCTTGAGTTACCTTTCATAACTGTCCTTTGATTTTATCATTCATTTTTTCTACCTTTCCAGGGGACTGGAGCCTCCAAGAACAGTGTAGATGATATTTTATGCCCAGAGCTTTAGACATTCCCTTTGTAACAACTGCTTTGGAGGCAGGCCCATTATCACTTTGCAAACTCCAAGGAAGTCCAAACCTGGAAATAAATTGATGGACTAAAGCCTTTACAATTTCCTGGGACTTTTGTGTCCTACAAGGGAACGCTTCAACACAATCAGTAAAAGTATCCACAAATACCAGCAAATATTGTAAACCACGTACCTAAGGGAGATGAGTGAAATCTATTTGCCAATCTTCGCCTGGATATTTACCTTGTTTATGAATACCTGGGGAAGCTAGACAATGTTATGCCTTTAATGCAATTTGGACCTATTGAGCATATTTTGCTCTTTCTACCTGTACCTTGGTAGCCCATATGTCTGGGTTAATTTCTGTTGCTAATAAGGGAAGGCACAGTATAGGTTCTTGTCCCATATTCTTATAAATTGTTATTCCCACTTTAGTTAGTATGTCCCTCCACAAAAGGGGAGCAGAGCTTTTAGGCATGATTAGGAAGGTATGAGGGAACAGCCATCAACCCAATTGCAGTTTACAGGCTGAGAGAAGAATTTGGTAACCGGCTTTCCAGACACTTCCTGTACAGTTGCATATTTGGGGGATAGAAGACCAAGGTTAGAGAGGAGTACATAAAAGGCTGCTCCAGTGTCCCAAAGAAATTCTGTCTTCTGGCCTTCCAGAATGAGGCAGACCCAGAGCTCTTGAGGGGTAAAGACACAAGCTGGGACCTGCCCTGGGCATCCTCAGAATCTGCCCTGTGCACCCTCAGTCCAGTTTAGGGGCTGATGGAATCACTGTCCCAGGAGGCCTTTGCCTCTGGGGACAGGCTGCCCTCCAGTGGTCTCCCTTTACATTCTGAAAGGGTCTGGTGGCTTGCCCAGCAGGTGGTGATGCAGGTAGGTGGGCAATCTCTCTTGAAGTGGCCAGTCTGACCACATTGGAACCACTTATTCTTAGCTACTCTGGCTTTTCTCTGCTGCTAAATGGTGTTCGTTTGTCAGACTACCATTACTAGAGCTGTCATTCTTTTTCTATGCCTTATCTCTTTTGCCTTTTCTTTCTCCTGATTTTGATTATGAAAGACAGCTGTGGCCATTTTCAGAAGATTCTCCAGGTTATGATCTGGGTCCAGAGCCAATTTCTGGAGTTTCTTCAAATGTCTGGGGCCACCTTAATGATAAATTTATCTTTTAAAATAATTTGGCCCTCCTAGGATTCGGGTGTAAATGTAGCATGTTTTCTCATTGCCTCCCTAAGCTGCTCAAGAAAGGCTGAGGGACACTTTTGCTTTTGGTAAATAGTAAACAACTTATACTAATTCATAGGCTTTTTGTTGGATCTACATAAACCTTCCAGGATACATGTTAGAAAATGTTTATAGCACCAGTCACCTTGTTTCTCAGGGTCCCATTCGGGATCCTCAAAGGGAAATGCCTGTCTTCCCGTGGGGTATCTGTTCCTTTTCCTCAGAAGACCTATTGCTACCATTAGTAGACATAAACCACAAATAACCTTAGTTTCTAGCATCATCTAAGACTTCATTTTTCTCATTCAAAGATAAAGTTTGATCTAGTAGTAACATTACATCTCTCCAAGAGAGATAGAGAGGTCAAAGCTTTCTTATAAGCCTTGGAGAACATATGTTTACCTATCTGGGTCATCAGAAATTTTTCTTAAATCAACCTTAATTTGTTTTAAATCTGCCAGAGAAAATGGAGTGAATACTTGCTCATTTCCCCTTTGACCACCCACAGTCTCAACCAAGAGACACAAAAAAAGATACAGTTGCTTTCTGGGATGTATACAGCCAGCCATAAACATCCCTAGATTAAGTGTTCTTTTTCTTTTTTCTTTTTTTTTTTTTTAAGACAGAGTCTCTGTCTGTCACCCTCGGTAGAGTGCTGTGGCATTCTAGCTCACAGCAACCTCAAACTCCTGGGTTTGAGCAATTCTCTTCCCTCAGCTTCCTGAGTAGCTGGGACTACAGGCACCCTCTATGATGCCCAGCTAGTTTTTCTATTTTTAATACAGACAGTGTCTCACTCTTAGTCAGGCTGGTCTTGAACTCCTGAGCTCAGGTGGGCCATCTGCCTCAGCATTCCATAGTGCTAGCATTACAGGCATGAGTCAATATGCCTGGCCTGGAAGTGTTTCTTTTTAAAAATCCCTCTATAGTGTGAAATTTACTTATTTATTTGTCATTTGCTTGCTGATACCAAGAAATAGCAGAGAAAAAAATATTTGAGAACTCTCTTGAGCTTGGTTCATTTTAACTTTAAGTGTGTTTTTAGAGCGTACCGAATCTATCATATTTTCTGACTACAAACAAGTTGTATTTATACAAAAGTATCATTTAAGCCTAGGACTTCCAGTCCATAGTGAATATGTTCCTCTGTCAATGGAGACTATAGTAACCTCCTACTTGTAGTTTCTTAAAATTCTTACAGTAGAACTAAATCCTTATATCATACATAAACTTTTCAACTATGCTTGAATGGCCTTGCCAAAGAAGGAAAATACATGAAAGCACTTTTTAACCATTCTGACCCCTTTAGAGTCTGATTAAAACTTTGAAAGCTCTTTCTAGAAAATTACATACACAGATAAAGAACCTGAATCAGTGGGTTTCAGTGGTGATAGAGAACAGAATAAGAACAGTGACTAATGACTAATAAAATTTGGAACTGGGGAGTGTAAAGAATATAGAGGCTGGGGACATGATGGACAAACATACAGTAAATGATTTTTTCTACTTGGCAAATTTAAACCTAAGCATTAAACCAGAAAGAGAAACACTAACTCTTTAATCCTGGTATGGTTATCAAAGGATTATTTAATGGCAAAAAGAATTTTGTGACCTACTACTGGAAAAGTATTATAGAACACTATCTCATATTTTATTTTTATAAGTTGTATATATTTACCTTGTATAGCATGTTTTGAATTATATATAGATTATAGAATGACTAATTCTAGCTAATCACCATGTGCATTACCACACATAGTTACCATTTTGCAATGAGAACACTTTATAAGACCCACTGTCATAGCATTTTTCAAGAATATATTATGTTAATACCTATAGTCTCATGATTGTTGGTGGTAAAAGATCAAATCCAAACTCACTAATCATCAAGTTCCCTTGTTGCTGATTTGTAAACTTGATTTTTCCAATATGTCTTCACCAAACTTTATAGAAATATGTTACACTCTGGACATAAAAGAAAAATAATGCTTTTTTATGAAGGAAATAAGCCCTTAGCTGGTTAAAATTTTCACAGTTCTTTTATAGTTATATTTATTTTTACTAAATATTAATTAGAATCAAAAAGCTATTTATTCAGTATTTGAGAGGTATAAATAATAACAATATAATGACAGTGATGAATAACCATGTACTTACTATCTAGTTTAAAGGAAAAAAAATCCCCAGAATTCTTATCCCATTCAGATGTAACCACTATCCTTAGTTTTAATTATTATTCTCCTTCTTTACTTTATAATTTCACCTTATATATCTGTATTGCTAAGCAATATATTCATTGGTATTGCATATGTTTGAAGTATTTTCAAATCTTGGGAAATATACCCAAATACAGATTTCTGTATCTTACCCTTTTGCTTAACATTATATCCCTGAAATTTATCCAAAATTTTCTATGTATCTGTCATTTTTGTATTTTTGCCTAATTTATAATATTTTATTATATCTATATGCTCCAATTTAATTATCCATTTTACTGTTGCTGGACATTTTGTTTAGATTGTTTCTAGATTTTTGCAATTAAAGTATTGCTATGAATGTTATTGTACATAGCTCTAAGTGTGCAATAACAGAAATTTTTCTAAATATATCTAGAAGTAGAACCACTGGGTTATACTATATGTGGCATCACTTAATTTTTTGTCCCTGGATAGTCTTTATAACCAGTTTATCATATCATCCCTGCATTTAAGACTTTTTTTTAAAGTTCTCATTTTTATTTTTTAATTAAATCATAGCTGCGTACATTACTGCATTTATGGGGTACAATGTACTGATTTCATATACAATTTGGAATGCTTACATCAAACTGGTTAACATAGCCTTTACCTCATTTACTTAATTGTTGTGTTAAGACATTTATACTCTACTTTTAATAAGTGGAGGGAGGGTAATTGGAGGGACCTCACCTGTTGTGCATATTGCAAGGGTACATGTCTCATCATTTTTAGCTTTTTTTAAGGAGGAAGGTTGATTAGGTGGCTCTTCTGTCATACTGCTGGAACAGGTAGTCCAGCTATTTTATGTTTGTGACATGAACTTTTTTTTGCCTATAGCTCCCTATATATACTGCACCACCTCTTCAGTGTAAATATGTTGAAGAGCAGCCTGGTTGTTTACAAATGGGCTTTGCCTCCATCCGCATGACAACTGGTCATTATGTTACTTGGTGCAAGGTAAGTCATTTCTGATAGTGGTTTAATATCAGGGGTTTCTTATTAAGTTGTTCCAGTTGCCTACTGATGTGTAACAAACAACCCCAAAACATACTGGTTTAAAACAGCAACTGTTATATAATATCATATGATTTTGTAGGTCAGAAGTTAGAGCAGAATTCAGATAGGTAATTCTTTAGTATCTATCAATACTACAAATTCCTGTAGTATTGACAGAGATAACTTAGTGTTATTAATCTGGCAAATGGGCTGTTTTAGAGAGTCCAAGACAGCTTAATTCACATCTCTGAAACTTTGTGAAGGATGGCTTGAAAGGTGGGATGAGCTCAAATTGTTGACTGGAATACCTACACATGACCTTTCAAGTATGGTGGTCTCAAGTTTGTCAGAAAAATTACATGGGCAGTTTGGAGTTCTTAAAGGCAATGTTACAAGACACCCTGTGTAGAATTGCCAAGCTTCTAAGATGCTCAAGAAAGTTACTTTTATAGTATTCTATTGTTAAATCTCTAAGACCAGTCCAGTTTTAAAGGGAATGAAATTAGACACAACTTCTTAGTACGAATAGCAACAATTTGTGGCCATATTTAACCTATCATACTAATGTACAGATTAAAGTAGCTCAGTCAGCATTTATGTCACCTAGCATGTACAAAGTGTTATTCACTTTTTTTGTAAAATTTTGAGATTACTTCTTAATTGTTCCTTATTTGGCTAAGCAAAATGTTGTTCACTTACTAGGGTTAGTTTATAAGAAAATTCTGATTATAGCTATTGGTCAAAGTAGAATTTACCTGACTTTAATGCTTAGTGATATCCAGCTGCAGAGTGAATATCCAGCTGACATAACACTAATGTTTCATTACTGATACTGGAATTTCACTCTTCAGTAGATCCTTGGTCTCTGGGATTCGAAGAATGAACCCACGGAACACAGATCGGTAGTAAGATAGGACTTTTATTACAAGTTAGAAAGGAATACAGAAGAAGTAAAAAGCACCAGAGCTTCTGGAAGGGGGACCACAGATCAGTGGTAAGGTAGAACTTTTATTAGAAGTTAGAAAGGAATACAGAAGAAGTAAAAAGCGCCAGAGCTTTTGGAAGGAGAAGGAACTGAAGAACTCACTCGGGATTCTCCTTGTGGGCTCTTTTATCTAAGGGTCTTAAGTCTAGAGGATTACACATAGCTGGTAGTTGGTCCTTTACAATCTTTGTCCCTGAGAAGGGATTAGCATGTGTGCTCCTACCCAAGGTAGAACCACCCCCAAAACCATCACAGGCTGCTTTGTTCATGATCTTATCAGAGCCCAGAGGGTGTGTTCTGAAGAAGGCAGTCTGCTTGTGCCTGGAAATGGGGGTCTGACGTCTGAGCTCACGTGGGCCTAGAGAATGGGGGCTCCCTATCTAGCCCTGAGTGGTGGAATCCTGTATCATTATCATCACATAAACATAGTTCTGTTAGCATCAACGTCTCCAGTGTCAGTATTATTATTATTCTGACCTTATAACCACGCAACATTTCTCCCAATATAGGCTAATTGTGAACCTTTGTGTTCTTTAAGTTTCTAATCTATTCTTTTTAAAAAGAAAATTCTAATAAGCTTATGAAAAATATCCTTAGGTGTAATACCAATTCAATGGACTCTGGTGATTCCAGATGATATTTCACACATCTAATGAATGTATGATGTTGTTTTTGAAAACTCATGCTTATCATGCAATTCTAATGGTATTAGTTGTATTATATTATCTTAGTAGTTTGATCTCAAAGCAAATTTTTTAAAATAATTATGGTCTTAATCATGCCCCTCAGGCAATAAGCCAACAGCTGGATAATTCAAACCTAAGTATCTTGAGACCTAATTTTTGGTAGTATTCTCAAAATTTTTCTTCAGTGAGGTAAATTGTTCCTCACAGACATTTAAATTGCGATTGTTTTTAAGACTAAAAGAACATTTTATCTGTTAATATGCTGAAACAGGCTGAAAAAAGGTATTTTCAAATGAATTTTGTCTTCAGTGTAAACAACTTGTACTCTTTGCCTTTTCCCTAAAAACATAATCTAGTCTTTAAAAATTACGTCTGATTCAAATTACTTTCCACATTAAACCTAGAATCATATAGCTCTAATTCAGTTCCTACTTCTGCTCCTTATTGTTTTGTAATTTAGGTAGCAGTGACCCCTAGTGGTAAAAGTGAATTTCTAAACCCAACTAATGAAAATTTTCCAAAACTAGTTTTTTTCCTTAATGGTTAAATGATTTCTAATAAGAGATCAATAGGTACTATATTTTTTAACCTTGCAGGTGAGATTTTCTTGATATATCACCTAAATAGAAGTAGTTTGGTTTCAGGTAAGGGTTATGATAGTTTTTATAGCTTTAAACTAGGATAGACCTCTGGATTTCTGATCATTGAAATATCTGAGACACAAAATCACGATGTCTTTATAGGAATAACTTATTTATTTCCTGTCTAATGTAATTATTTCTATTTTCTATGCTTTGAAAATCTCTTTTGTTTTTTCTTTATTCCATGATTTCACACCAGCTAGTTGAGAAGAAACCATATATTTAGATTGTGTTTTCTGGTTCCTTTAATAGAGTACAGCATGACTGTGGGTAAATGATTTTGTGACTTTCTTTTTATTCTGATGTATGTAGAATAATACTTATTACTCAATAAATATTTATAATACTATTTTTGCATTAAAATAAATTAGTTAGAAGTAACTAACATGGAGTATTTGCTTTGAAGCTTTAGTCCTTCCAATGGGTTAATATAATTTTGATTTATAGAGAATTTATGTTTCTACTTAAAAACAGGATGGACATAAGCCTATATAGGAAAATTTCTACCCTAAGATAAATGTCTTATTTAGATTTTTCTCTTCTTCTAATAAACACTAAGAAAAAGGAGAAAATGAAGCCTTTTATTAAGGCTTTGTATTCTTTTTATCCCCTCCTTAAATGATTATGCTGTTGCATCCCTATTGATCAGATGTTGCTTGTAAGCTGAAATGTACCTACCTACTTGATTTATTTAAATTTCATTCATTTTTCTAAGCCATTAAATTGGATGATACATCTTAATATTTTTAACATACCTTTTAAGATGCAAAAACACCCTGAGATATCACCTAACCCCAATATGATTAGTCAACATTACAAAGTCCCAATGTCTCAGATGCTGGTGCAGATGTGGAGAGAGGGGAACATTTTTACACTGTTGGTGGGACTGCAGACTAATACAGCCTCTTTGGAAAGAAGTATGGGGAATCCTCAAAGAGCTCAAATTAGATCTCTCATTTGACCCTGCAATCCCACTAGTAGGCATCTGCCCAGAAAAAAAAAAATCATTTTATCATAAAGACATTTGCACTAGATTGTTTATCACAGCTCAGTTTTACAGTCTTCAAGATTTGGAAACAAGCTGAATGCCCATCAGCTCAGGACTGGATTAACAAACTGTGGTATATGTATACCATGGAATAGTATTCAGTTATAAAAAGATAGTGACTTCACATCTTTTGCATTAATCTGGATGGAGTTGAAACACATTCTTCTTATTAAAGTATCACAAGAATGGAAAAGCAAGTATTCAATGTACTCAGTACTAACACGAAGCAGTAAATGATCTAATTCATACCCACATAGGAGAAAAACTCATTTCAATTCAAGTTGGGGGAAGGAGAATGAGAGATGTGGAGAAGAGGGGAGGTTTGTGTTTCTCCCACTTAATGAGCACAATGTAAAGGTGTATGGCATACCTTTTGGGTGAGAGACATAACTACAAGAGGGATTCTACCTAATAAATTCAAATATTGTGACTTGGTTGTTGGTATCCTCACATTAACCTTGAAAAGAAAGAACGCATAAGTTAATGTGAAAGTAGCACATGTACTTACTAAAAAAACTCAAGTTTTTCTACCCATAGGTATATTAATACATTTAACATTAGTTTTGATCCTTCATACGGTTTTCTTATGATACCTAAGTAATGAATTACTTTCATTCATAATAAAATATCTTTTTGTGACCTGCTTTGAAGGCATTTCTTTATCCATGTATGTGAAGAAAATAGTAAACAAGTATTATCCATATTGAGTAGAATGAAAGGCAAGAAATGAAGACAAGCTAGGTTAATTTACTCACAGTGAATAAATAACTCAGGTTTTAATATAATCTTAGAGATATAGGCTATCTTATCTATTTATTTATGTAATTTATCTTTTTTTCAAATTTCTAGTAATTTTTTTTTTTTTATGAAATTATGGTTGTGTACATAGATACTTTCATGGAGTACAGTGTGTTTTTTCCATATAAAATTCAGATCACATAACTCTTTCGCCTTTTATGTATGTAATTTATTAACAGCTTTTAAAAATACAGATTATTTTTTTTCCCTTTCTTGTGTAGGGCATTTGTGTTTTTGTGAAAAATGGGATAATGGCTACAATGCAATTTGGAAGAGGTAGGGGAGTGAACCATCCATAATAAGATATGTTCTATTGTGCTTTTGTTATAGTGTTTAAGTGTGAGAAAAATAAACATGGTATGTTGCCTATTTTATTTTTCCTAATTTAGAAGATACTTTGTATAGCAGCTAATTGATAATAACAACAAATTAATAGTATGTGGCATTGGTTTAGTAATTATATGATAGGGCATTGTGCTAACCATTTTATATATATTTATCTAATTTATTTTTTGTCACAATTCTGTGAGTGCTGATATTATAATGATTGCCATTTTACAGATGAGCAAACAGGTTTAGAAAGGTTAAAGTAAGTTACCAATGTCACATAGCTAGTAAATAGGAGTGCCAAAATTCAAACTGAGGTTCATTTTAACTACAAAACACATATAATGTGCTCATAAAGCATAAATTAAAAATATGTCTTGATTCTTGTGAATTAGTTTTAAGTAAGTACTATTTGTTGTTAAATTACATGACAATTACATTACAATTTGCTATCAATTGCTAGGAAACGTCATGGCAATCATTCACTCTGGAATATTCAAGCTAAAGTTGGAAAACAATTATATTTTATTCTTTAGCTTATTGGTAGTATTTAGTAGCAGATATACCTTCCTAATATTCTTGGCTTACAGCAGTTTTAAAAATAAGTATGTGTAAAGGACAGAAAGATTAGCTAAAAATTTAAATGACTCCATAAAGTTGATGACCTATAGTTGAATTATCATTATTCAAATTACACCCATTATCCATCTTGATAATGTGATTAAATATGTGATTGTCATTAAATAACTATGATAGAAGTGTATTTTTATAACCAGCAATGATTTAAATATGTAAGAAGCCAAGAAGTCTGGACTTTTGGTCACTCGTCATTTAGTTTTTGTCATCATCTACTTTAGGCTCATTTTTCAAAATAATTATTGATTTTAACTATAAGAGCAGTGGCTGCTCTGAGGTTATTGGAGAATAATGGCAAGCAAGGTCTTGTGACTGCATATGTGTATATCCTTAAACTATATATTTTTTCAAAGCTCATTAATTATCCATTTCACTTCTTAATGGATGCTACCAGTATATCTTTATATATAACTGAAAGTAGTATTACAGTGCATAAGTTATTTTCAAATGTGCAGTAATGTGTTACAAAATAAATTATCTGTAAGATGGCAAATGTATGTTTCTAATGTATATAAAACTGTATAGTGTTTACAGTTATGCTTTTTATATGATTATTGGCTCTGTATATAACTAGCTTTTATGTTGCTGTTCATATCATCATTTTGTATAGTCCTTTAAAGAGTGTTTAAACCATCCTCTATTATCTTAAAAAATCTCTTTAAACTTTCTGGGTTGTAAATATATAGAATGCTCAACAGTAACTAGTCTTTTATATTAATGTTCAACTGATTTCTTAAGACGCATATGTGTATCTGAAGAATCCTTCTCAAGATTTTCTTCCAAAAATGGGAGTGATTACAATGTTTGGATTGGTGGGCTTGCTTTCATCAAGTAAAGGTAGGGTTTTAAAGTGTGTGTGTATATATATATATATATATATATATACACATATATATACTGTGCAATGCTATTAGTTTCTGAATTTTACTGTTGCAAGACAAACTTATATGGTTTATTCAATATTATCAGGATAGGTTACTGTAAAATTTTTAGATTATAATTTTTTTTTAGTATGACATGTTTACTTTTATAAAGACTTTGTGTTTTCAAAACTATAGCTATTTTAAAAGCTATTACATCATTAATCATTAGGGAAATGAATACTAAAACCACAGTGGGATACAATGGCATAGGTATTAGAATGTCTAAAATTTAAAAGACTGACCTTATTAATCAACCATAATCAAGAATTGAAAACAACTGAAATTTTTATAAAATACAGTAGAATATCAGAGTGCTTTGTACTTAGTTTGGATAAATATCATGGAGCTTTTGTTTCAGTGAAGTGTGTTTGTGTGTATGCATGCATGCAATATGCCATAGATCATAATGTAAGATTTGGTTTTTAGTATAAGTCATGGTCAAAAAAGTTTGAAAGCTGTTAGGCTAATCCTGTTATCCTAAAGATAGAGATCTAGAGACCATGGAATATTATGCAGCCTTAAAGATGGAGGCTTTACCTTTCGTGTATACATGGATGGAGCTGGAACACATTCTTCTTAGCAAAGTATCTCAAGAATGGAAGAAAAAGTGTCTAATGTACTCAGCCCTACTATGAAACTAATAGAGCTTTCATATGAAAGCTATAACCCAATTATAGCACAAGAAGAAAAGGGGAAGGGGTGTAAGGGGAGGGGAAAAGATGGGTGGAAGGAGGGTAATTGGTGTAGGAGAAAACACAATAACTAAGAAAATACCATGAAAGCTATGTTAACCAGTTTGATGAAAATATTTCAAATTGTATATAAAACTAGCACGTTGTACCCCATGACTGCATTAATGTACACAGCTATGATTTAATAATAATAATAAAAAAGAAATCATTCAGTGGTTTCATAGTACATAGCACACATCTAGTGATTGGCTGTGTACACAGTCCTCTAATTATGGGAATAGGGCTGTCAAATCCAAATGAAATTTATTTTCTCATAGACTAAATTCATATATCAGTTAAAGAGAGGATGAATTATTAATTAAAAAATAAAAATAAAACCATAGTCACTTTAAGGACATAAAAACCAAAAAAAAAAAAAAAGAAAAAAAAAGACAGGATGAAGTTAAGTCTTCTCAATCTTTAAAATGACATTGAAGGAAAACTGTCACCTACCAAGTTAA